TGTCTTGTTCCTCAAGAGAGCAGATAAAGTAGGGAACATGTGAGTTCTAGCTCCATCCAATTTGCTTCTGTTTTTGCCAAAGCTCAAGTTTGATTTGGACTGGTCTGATCTTTACGGACAAATTGAGGCATGGTGCGTTTGGTCCTTGCCGTATAAATTCAACTCATTCAAGATGGCAAAGATGTCAACCAAATAAATTCTTTTCTGCAATTCACTTTTATCACTGAAAAGGGCTTCGAACTGCAGTCTTGCTTTCCGATTAAAAACATTTTGAGTTCATCACAAAAGCACATTTAAAAGCTTTTTCCCTCAACAACCATCTCTCTTCAGTGTGAATAGCAGGGCTTTGTTTGTGCACATAACCCGTAGCACAGTTGAGAACCGTCAACCGCTCACAGGGCTCGCCTTTACGAAACAGGCAGAATTCATGCTTTCCACGGTTCTCGTAACTCTTGCAGCTCTGTCTTCATTGCTGATATTTGCCGATGAATCATACAGTGGGTTCAGATGACTTTGGTGACTCTCAGTACCAAACGCTGGAGTCCATAGCTGCAGTACCATCTGTGCCAACACTACAACCTTTTCCCAAGAGTTCCTCTACTCTTTTAGAAACGAACCATGTCAGATACGTCATGTGCAATAGTTGTTTCAAGATGTTTACAAAAGAGAAACTCATCTTTAAAGTCGTCACCATTAACATAATTCACAGAAATCAGTATTGAACAGTTTGCAACGTCTGCAGATTCATTGAACTGGATACTAAATATTGGAAGTGGAGCAGATTCAATTCCCTGGATTACCTGACAAGAGCGCCACCAGACATGGCACCTAGTCCATGGTCAGTGTCGTTAGAAAAGGAAACTGCATTCACTGTGTAACCAATTCATCTCCAATCAGAACTCAGAACACTGTCTCTGGCCACCGGCAACAGCAAGTCCTCAGCAACGGTCTGATGTTTCTGGCCTGGCGACTCTGAGTGCCCCATACAGGACGCTTCAGCGGCTGCTACGACTTGTTTGTGGTATTGCCACCAGTGTCAAGTCTGGCTCTCCTGGGTCCATCAGCTTTGCTTCTGAAATAGTCGGTGTCCTTGCCAGCAAAGCTTGGATGCTGTTATCAGCAGGGAGCCCTAGTTTGCCCAGCTTCGGCTGATGGAACGTCATCTCTCAATTTCTGCTGTAATTATCGAGGTAAAACCATCCTGTAAAAAAATCCTCACTATGCTTTCTTAATGTTCCTCTCTACACAATCCAGTGCCATGGGATGGTTTTCTAATGAAAACAATATATAACCAAAGCTTTACTGATACAAAAGAGGATGTAGGCATAGTTCAGTCAATACAGTTCATCCAAGTTGCCTATGATTTACGGTTCTGTGTTGATTTTTCACATACCAGTTACTACCACAAGGGGGCACTATTCACATTCCATCTGAATATAAGACTTTGCAGTGTCCACATTGAGTTCCCATGGTCTGTTCCAGTTGTTAACTTTAGAGCACATGATTTTACTTTTACTCAGAAATTATAGCTTATAAAGCCTTGTGTTATCTCGAATATTGATGCTTTCAACACAGCTGCTCTCTCTATCTCTAGGTCCGCAGAGGCACACCACGCACCAACCCTGTCACATATACCTGTCTTTGTTCCAGATTTATGTGACGGGGTTGGCACAATGATTTCATCACGCTGGATACTTGCAGTGGGTGTAGCTGCATGTGGGCAGACCTGCCTGGAGATGGGCAGAGGTCCCTAAGAGCGTCCAAAGTCAGTGTTTGTTGATGGTTTTGGGTCCCATGAAAGGGTCGTTGGACACCGACCCCCAAGAGGGTCGTGACCCACTAGTTGAGAACCATTACTCAAAAGGAAAGGGCTGAGATGTGATTCAGTGGTATTCAAACCCTAGTACCCTGCCCCACCACTAGACAGAAACAAAGGTCCTATCTAAGAGGTCCACACATACAAGCTCCTCTGTTTGGACCCCAGCCGCACCTCCCTTGGCCCTGGGCACGACTCACGCTCCAGATTGTCCTCTCGGGCTCGGAGCGCTCGCTCTCGCTCCTGCAGCTGCTTTTCCTTCAACCTGAGCTCACTCAGCACAGGGCTGGAGGCCTGCAGCTTCGAAGGCTCTCCTAAGCGCTGTCCTCTCCTCTCCAGATGCCTCCTCTGCTCCTCCGCAACCAAGTCTGCTATCAAAGGGCTCTCCAGAATTTCTTCCACTGAAGGTCGGTGGTAATCCTGGAGACAGTGTGGCAGGCAGAGCATGAACAGTCATCAAGAAAAGCAGTTACGTCAGGAGCATAAACAAAAGACGGTTCCTGTATCTAGAAACATCTGGAAAAACAAGGTCACTGGTCATGAGGTGACACAGATTTAACTCACCTGTTCCTCCTTTCTCACCCCACCCCCCTTCCAGGAGGCTCAGGCCCTGCAGGACAGAGCACACTGCACATACACTGGGTACCACTGGGGTCTGCTCAGGGGAAGCGGGACCTTTGTTTCTCTAAATACCGTTAAAGAGGACGTTCTCTTTAATTCTTCAATTAAATCACCCTTCAATTCTCTTTCTCTCTCTCTCATACACACACACGCACCGCGCACTGTATCCTTTGCAACCCCACAGCATTCCACTTTCACTTCTTCCTCAGCTCACAACATGGGCCAGAAAATCTGTTGTCAAGGTATTTTTCCTTCTGCTCTGTCCCCTTCTCCCTCGTTCTGGTCTCCAGTCCCTTAGACGGAGAGTAGTAAAAAGGCCTTTATGTACCACTGTACTCTGAGTTTTGCCTTTTTTCAGTCTTTCCATGCTACTAACCATCAGTTAGTGTGGCACAAGTAGCAAAGAAAAGAGGAAGTGAGGCACAAGGGTTGATGAGGATGTGTTCCACACCTGTGAGCTTTTACCTCCGCTAACTGAGCACTGAGCCAGGGAGGCTGATGACCAGTCTATGGCAAACCCAAAGTTTTCCCAAGAGACTGAAACAGACAAGTGCACACACAGCCTCACAACCATTACCTTTAAATTCAGCATCTGAGTGATGATGTCATTCAGCCCGTCAGAGTAGCGGTAGGGGATCCGCCTGAATCTCCCCTCTCTGATTTTCCCAGCTAACTCTTTCTGATTGAAAGCTGTGAATGGAGGCCTGGGATTTAAAAATAAATAAAAAGGAAAAGAGGAGAAGGAGTGAAGAGGAGACAAAAGAAGGAAATTTAAAAAATGTTAAACGAATGCAAATAACAAGAAAACGAGAGCCGGGCTCTGCCGACATTCTGTCTCTTGATCTGGGACTGACTCTTCTGTGGCCATGCTTAGCCATCCCCTGGTACTGCCTACACTTCGGGTGGAAGAGCTGTGACTCGGGGTCTGTCCCTATGCTCTGCAGAGTCTGCAGCACCCTGGTTTCCACCCTCTGGATCCAGTGTCAGTGGGGAGCAGAATTCAGGACCCAGTCCCATGGGTTCCACTCTTAGTTGGAGAAGTCGGGGTGTGTTGTTTCTAACTTGTCAATTTCCAGTGACAGACGACCACCAGTGTTGGTCTGGGCTAGGACTCTGTCTCCCCTACTCACATCAATGCACACAGCTCATACAGCAGGCAGCCCAGTGACCAGATGTCCGACTTCTCATTATAGGACAAGCGGCTCATTTGCTCCTAGAGGACAAGGTAAGGAGTTGAGAGTTTGCTTTGTTTCAAAATTTAAAATTTTCAACCTGAGGGCTGGGGAGGCAGCCAGGCTAACAGAGCTTACCTAGCATGCACAACACCTGGGTTGGATCCCAAGCACAAAATCAATGAGGTGTGGTGGCTCACCATAATCTTAGTACTCGGGAGGTAGAGATCAGAAATTCGGTGATGGGGCTGGAGAGATTTCTCAGCAGTTAGGGACTGGCCGATCTTAAGAGGACCCATCTTTGATTACCAGCGCACACAGGACAGCTCTCTGCCATCTTTAACTCCAGTTCCAGGGAACCTAACGCCCTTTGGTGTCTCCTTAGGTACATAAGGTGTACATACATACACGCAAAGTACTTATACACATAAAAATAAAACTTAGGGCTGGAGAGATGGCTCAACGGTCTTCCAGAGGTCCTGAGTTCAATTCCCAGCAAGCACATGGTGGCTCACAACCATCTGTAATGAGATCAGGTGCCCTCTTCTGGCCTGCAGACATACATGCAGACTCTCTGTGTATATAATGTGTACACAACGCATACAGAGACTCTCTGTATACATAATAAAAAAGTTTTTAAAATAAAACCTCAAAAATTTACAATTATCTTCAGCTATAAAACAAGTTCTAGGTGACCCAGGTTGTGTGAGTTGCTGTCAAAACACAACAAACAACAACAAAACCAACCACAAAAGCGATCTACAGATTCAATGCAACGCCCGTCAAAATCCCAGCAAAGTTCTTCAAAGACCTCGAAAGAACAGTACTCAACTTCATTTGGAAAAGCAAAAAACCCAGGATAGCCAAAACAATCCTATGCAATAAAAGAACTTCTGGAGGCATCACAATTCCTGACTTCAAACTCTACTACAGAGCTACAGTACTGAAAACAGCCTGGAATTGGCATAAAAACAGACAGGAGGACCAATGGAACTGAATAGAAGACCCAGATATCAATCCACACATCTTCGAATACCTGATCTTATATAAAGAAGCAAAAAACATCAAATGGAAAAAAGAAAGCATATTTAACAAGTGGTGCTGGCATAACTGGATATCAACATGTAGAAAAATGAAAGTAGACCCATATCTATCACCATGCACAAAACTCAAGTCCAAATGGATCAAAGACCTCAATATAGAGACAGTTACACTGAACCTTACAGAAGAGAAAGTGGGAAGTACACTTGAACGCATTGGCACAGGAGACCACTTCCTAAATAGAACCCCAGCAGCACAGACACTGAGAGAAACAATTAATAAATGAGACCTCCTGAAACTGAAAAGCTTCTATAAAGCAAAGGTCATGGCCAACAAGACAAAATGCCGGCCTACAGAATGGGAAAAGATCTTCACTAACCCCACATCAGAGAGAGGTCTGATCTCCAAAATATACAAAGAACTCAAGAAATTGGACATCAAAAGATCACATAATCCAATAAAAAAAAAAATGGAGTACAGACCTAAACAGAGAACTCTCAACAGAGGAATCTAAAATGGCTGAAAGACACTTAAGGAAATGTTCAACATCCTTAGTCATCAGAGAAATGCAAATCAAAACAACCCTGAGATTCCATCTTACACTTGAAAGAATGGCCAAGATCAAAACACTGATGACAACTTATGCTGGAGAGGTTGTGAGGAAAAGGGAACACTCCTGCATTGCTGGTGGGAATGCAAGCTGGTACAACCCCTTTGGATGTCAGTGTGGTGATTTCTCAGAAAATTAGGAAACAACCTACCTCAAGACCCAATACTACCACTTTTGGGTATATATCCAAAATATGCTCAATCGTGCCACAAGGACATGTGCTCAACTATGTTCATAGCAGCTTATTTGTCATAGCCAGAACCTGCAAACAACCTAAATGCCCCTCGATCGAAGAATGAATAAGAAAAATGTGGTACATTTACACAACGGAGTACCACAGCAGAAAAAAAGTAACATCTTGAATTTTGCAGGCAAATGGATGGAGCTAGAAAACATCATTTTGAGTGAGGTAACCCAGACCTAGAAAGACAATTATCACATGTACTCACTCATAGGTGGTTTTTTTTTTTGTTTGTTTGGTTGATTGGTTTTTCGAGACAGGGTTTCTCTGTAGCTTTGGAGCCTGTCCTGGAGCTAGCTCTTGTAGACCAGGCTGGCCTCGAACTCACAGAGATCCACCTGCCTCTGCCTCCCGGGTGCTGGGATTAAAGGCGTGCGCCACCACCGCACGGCTTCATAGGTGGTTTTTAAACATAAAACAAAGAAAACCAGCCTACAAACCACAATCCCAGAGAACGTAGACAACAATGAGGACACTAAGAGAGACTTACATAGGTCTAATCTACATGGGAAGTAGAAAAAGACAAGATCTCCTGAGTAAATTGGGAGCATGGGGACCTTGGGGGAGAATTGAAGGGGGGAGGGGAGAGGCAGGGAGGTGAGCAGAGAAAAATGTAGAGCTCAATAAATATCAATAAAAAAAAATGTATAAAAAAACCAACCAACCAAAACAAAACCCACAATAAATAAATTAATACACTGAAAATGAAATGGAAAATCAAAGTCTGGTAATATTCACTTAAGACAGAAGAAAAAATTTAAAATTTTCTATCTGTAGCAAAAATTTTTAAAATTTCATATCCAAAGGACTCAGGTAGCTTAGACTACAGGAGAAAAGATGGTGGCTTCCACTTCAGCCTCGAGTTTATATGAAAAAGAGGAGTGATCTTAGCCTGGCAACTTTATCACACGAAATCTCATCTTCACAAATAAAATGCTCATTGTGGGTTTAACACTGACAATTCAAAGGCAAGCACCTGAAAGCTCTTCCTGCTGTCCTCAAGGGAAGAAAACATCATTTTGTTTTGTTTAGAGATGGGGGTCTCAGACTCCTGAGTTCAGACACCTGCCTCAGCCTCCAGGTAGCCGGGACTACGTTCTGTTGTAGGCACCAAGGAGGAACTGACTGGTGATCCAGCACCTGAGCTGGGGGGGGGGTGGCGGTCAGCAGTTCAAGGCCTGGGCTGCAGACTGTTTCACAGAAAAATCAAAAACAGGGGGCTAGAGAGATGATTTACTAACTCCAGCTGCAGGATCTAATGCCCTCCTCTGGCCTCCACAGGCCACACACACACACACACACACACACACGCATTTTTTTTTTCCCCTTCAGCCCACCGCTATTAACCACAGCAGGAACTGATATTCTCCTTGGGCTGACATCACTTCTCCCAGCTTATGCCTCAGGGACAATGATTCATCTGGTCACAAGGGCAGATGGGAAAAAGGGGCACCAAAGAATTGTGCAGGTGTTAACTTCTTGATTCCCCTTTGTAATCAAACTTTCCATGTGGAACATGACATCATTGGAAAACCAGCCCATTCTAGAAACAGTCACAAACTCAGAGTTTTATACTGTCCCCAGCTCTATTAGCGTAATTATATATCCAGAAAACCCTAGACTTCTCTGTGAATTACTGAAGAAATCTCTAAGATTTTATACACTTACACAGCAATGTCCCTTATGGACTCAAGGTTGGCTGGTGTTCATTTATTTGTTAATTTGCTTTGCTTTTGTTTTTCTGAGACAGGGTTTCACTATGTAGTCTTAGCTGGCCTACAACTCTAGGTAGACCAGGCTGGGATTAAAGGCGTGCCCTAACCTTAAAGACAGCTGAAAATGGTCATGCCCTAGCCTCAACAATTTCATTTTATATTCTATAATCCAATCAATACTAAGAAATGAGGAGGGGGCTGGAAAGATGGCTCAGTGGTTAAGAGCATTGCCTGCTCTTCCAAAGGTCCTGAGTTCAATTCTTGGCAACCACATGGTGGTTCACAGCCATCTGTAATGAGGTGCCTTCTTCTGGCCTTCAGAATATTGTATACATAATAAATAAATACATAGATAGATAGATAGATAGATAGATAGATAGATAGATAGATAGATAAAAGAAATGAGGAATAGCTGGGCAGTAGTGGCGCATGCCTTTAATCCCAGCACCAGGGGGGCAGGGGAGGGTTGATCTCTGTGAGTTCAAGACCAGCCTGGTCTATACAGAGCAAGTTCTAGGACAGCCAGGGCTAAACAGAGAAACCCTGTCTTAAGAAAACCAAAAAAGAAAAAGGAAGGAAGGAAGGAACAATTCATACAAGGATGTGCACAGAAGCTCTCTGTAAATGTAGGCAAGGAGCAGCAAGAACAGAACAGGCACAGAAACTAACACAGCAAAAAAGATGCCCACATGCGAAGGCCTGAGCCTGAAACAAAGTCACAGTGATGGGAGCCGAGCCCATGTATTCACCTCTGCTTCCTGCTGGGGCAGTGTGACCTGCTGCCTCCAGTTCCTGCCCTTGGAGCCAGGACTTTGCACATTAAAAAAAAAAAAAAAAACTTCTAGGGAGTCTGGGGTCATGTGTTCAGAACTGACCCTTGAGAAACTGTTGTTTTTAAACATTATTCCATCTTTCTAGACCTGGAACTTAGTACATATGGTCCTTTAAAAACAAAACAAAGGCTTTTATCCCAGCAGGGACAGGCAGATCTCTTGAGTTTGAGACCAGCTTGGTCTACATAGCAGGATCCAGGTCAGTCAGGGCTACCCAGAGAAACCCTGGGGGGCAAGGGGGACCAGAGAGATGGCTCAGTGGTTAGGAGCATTGTTGCTCTTGCAGAGGCCCTGGGTTTGATTTCAGCCCCCACACAGCAGGTCCCATCTATCCAAACTCCAGTTCCAAAGGATCAGGGCTGTCTTCTGAGCCCTTGGGCACATGGCACACTTACACATGTGCAAACATTCATACATGGCACACTTACACATGTGCAAACATTCATACTATAAATAAATCTTTACTCTGTTTAAAAAGCTCTAGTTGAATGTAGAGAAACTGAATGGCCAGGCAGTCCCTTTGAACAAACAAATCTAGGAGGGTGAGAGAGGGGGTCAGAGGTTAAGCACCAGATGCTCTTCCAGAGGACCAAGTCCAGTTCTCAGCATCCATGTCTGATAGCTCACAACTGCCTGGAACTCAGCTTGTGTGTGTGAGGTGGTTGACTCCATTCCCCCTTCCAGCCTTCACCATTACCCACACACATGGCATACACCCACAACACACACATGTATACATAAATACTAAAAGTTTTAAGACATATACATAACAAAACTTGGGTTGTAGCTCAGTGGTATAGTACTTGCCTCAAATGCCTGAAGCCGTAGGTTCAATTCCTAGTACTGAGGGGGAAAAGGAAAAAATAAAAACTTAAACTGTACTGTGAATTCTGGGCTGCTGGGTTTATTAGCAACCCAAACCTCCAGTTCCCTTGTATCCGAATGTTTCGCCTTAGATATTAAAAAGTCTCTAAACTCTGAAATACTCACAGGAGACATGTAGTAAGGTGTGCCAACAAATGTTTTCGCAAAACTCGTGTCGTGGTTTAAAATTCTAGCTAGTCCAAAGTCCCCAAGCTTGACATTGTGTTTGCTGTCCAGGAAGACATTGGCTGGCTTCAGATCCCGGTGAAGCACAGTATGGCCACCATCGCTCCTTCTGTGACACTCTTTGAGGGCCAGGGTCAACTGAGTCATTACTCGAAGCACAAACTCTTCCTCTAAGTACTGCCTGGAGCAAAAGCAATCACACGTTTCATGATCCTCAATAAAATCGTTTCAAATGCAGAATAGAATATTTAAGCTTCCAAAGTATACAAATATGGAAGAAAATTATTATTAGCTATGAAACATAGGTATCATCTCACTAAGGACTCTCCCTGTTCCCAACCGAGTGTGCTCACACACTAGACCCTTTCAGCTTACAGTCAAATTACCACTGACCTCTCCTTGGTCCCCTTAGTAATGACACTGGCCAGGTCCCCTCCTTCACAGTACTCCATCACGATGTACAAGGTTGTGTTGGTTCTGTCAATAATACGATCATAGTAACGGACGATGTTTGGATGCTTCAGCTCCCGAAGCAGGTTCACTTCAGACACAAGCATCTGCTTCTCCACCTCCGTCATGGAGCCATAGTCAAGTTCTTTCCACACCAGGATCTGAAACACAACGTTTCCAAGATATGAGAATGTATTATCCTTGGAGACAAATAACAAAATCTCCAAACTTTAAAAAACAAACAAAAAAATCACTATCTCACATTTCAATATATATTACAACTCAAGGTCATTATGATGATTACTACTGTCGGCTTGGCAGGGTCTAAAAGCATCTAGGAGACAAATCTCTGGGTATGTCAGGGAGGGGAGTCTGGGGGAAGACCCACCCTAAATGTGGGTGGCACCAAGAAGCAGCAAGCCAGCTGAGCACACGAATTTATGTCTCCGCTCCCTGCGGGGATGCGGAGTGACCAGTGGCCTCGAGTTCCTGCCACCATTTGCGTTCTCAGTCGCGATGGCCCGCACCCTCAAGCCCATTCCTTTTTTTTTTATTTTTAATAGATGTATTTATTATGTATACAGTGTTCTTTCCGCATGCGTGCCTATAGGCCAGAAGAGGGCACCAGATCTCCTTATAGATGAGATGGCTGTGACCCACCAGACTCTAGAAGAGGAGCCATCTCTCCAGGTGGCTTTTGTCAGGTCCTTCCCGTGAGTTGCTCTGCCCCTTCCCCGCTGTAAGCGCGGTTTGCTCCTCCCAAAGCGGACAGGTCCACTGTGGACCGGAGACGCCTCACCTTGCCGTCGCTCTTCCTCCGAATCTTCTGGCAGCGGCCGTAGGAGCCGGTGCCGATGCTGTGCAGCACCTCGTAGTCTTCCACCCGGGACGGCATGGCGGGTGTTCACCCCCCGGGATCCCCGCAGCACCCCGACTCACGACCCGCACAGGATTAGCCGCGCCGCCCGGAGCCCAGGCTCAGCCTGCCGCAGGTCCACGGCGCCGAGCAGCGCTGCCGCCCGGGGAACCGTGCAGACCCCCGACTCGCCAGCCGCCTGCCGAGGCCGAGAACTACCGGCCGCCAGGTCAACCGTCGCGGGCCGCAGCCTCGCCATCTATTGGTTGATGGCGAAGCTGCCTCTTAGATCTGATTGGCTGGGAAGACACAACACCGCTAAGTATCTTGGGAAAATACGTGTCGCTAGGCAACCGCGTCGGCGTTGGTGTGGGCGTCCGGTCGCTTTACGGAGCAGGCGCCCGGCGGGAAACCCCCGGGGACCTCGGACCGCAGAGCACGTTGGGTCTCGGTGACGCCGTCCCTCCGCCGAGGTCGCCGAGGCAACGGAGGTTCGGGGAGCTCCCAGACCCAGGCTCGCCCCTCGACCTTTCCACTTTGACCCTCACCCTTTCCGGTCTGAACCCGAACCGGTGTGTGTTGAGGACTCGGTGACCCTGCACAGAAACTGCACACAGACCTAGAGAGCGAGAATCCCTGTTCCAGCTGGGAGGGGTGGGCTCACGCAGGCGGATCTCTGTGAGTTCGAGGCCAGCCTGGTCTACAAAGCGAGTTCCAGGACAACCAGGACTCGACCCCTCTCTCACACACACACACACACACACACACACACACACACACACACACACAC